GATTTTTGGGACTGCCCACACGGAAAGAATGCCTCACTTCCCTTAAAGCCTTGCGCTTTCACGGGCAAAACTGTTACTGACCCCACGTAGGCTCCACTCCTAAATCTCTCAGTGACGACTGGAATTTACGAGATTTTGGAACCGTAGCCACTGTGTGGTGCCACAAATAAGTGACAACTTGTTCTGGACCTCCGGTTTTTTTCTTGCCTGAATCAGTCATGGGGAACGTATTTTCTAACTTCCAAAAGACGCCTTTACAATGCCTAATTTCCAATTTACATACTCTAAAAATTAAAGGTACCATAAAAACTAAACAACTAACTTTTTACTGCCAGGAGGTCTGGCCAACCTACCCACTTATCAGCAAGCCTTGGCCCCAACAAGGAACATTTGACCCCTGCATTCTCAGGAACTTGTACGATTTTTGTCAAGCTGGCAACAAGTTATTAGAACTCCCTTATATCCAAGCCTTTCTTATTCTGAGAACACGCCCATCTCTCATTAAGTCTTGTGCTCCTGCTGAGATACTTTTAGCTAACTTTACCGCGCCACAAACTTTTCCGTCCTGTCCTCAGGATTTGCTTGAGGACGTTCCTCCGGTGTTTTCCCGGCCGCCGCCTGCCTACCACCAAACTCGTTCCCTGCCGTTACCTCCCGCCGGATCGCTCTCCCCTCCCCCTATGCCTGATTCTCCCAGCAGCTCTAATCCCCCTCCGTCGCAGATACCTCCCGCTGTGCGATCGTCTCCCTCTCTGCCTTCCGGGACCCATAACTCTCCCAGCAGCTCTGATCCCTCTGTTAGCGCTTCCTCGCAGTCTCTGACTTCTTCTTCTCCTGAGAATTCTCTATCCCCTACAGCATTCTCACTGCCCGCCCACCATACTAGGTCTTGGTCGCTATGTCCTTCCAGCAGGCCACGTGATTGTTCCAGCTTGCGCCAGGAACAGTCGCCATGTTGCAACCCTCTGCCACGTGGCATGGTGCCACCATGTTCAGGAGGGCCACATGGCGACAGGGCGCTGCCATGTTTCGGGTCACGTGACAGGGCGCCGCCATGTTCCCAGGACCCTCACTGTCAATGGGCGTCCCCTTGTGGTTCCTCTTGTGAACTGCAACAGCTGCCCTGTTGCAGTGCACATAATGCTTCATTGTGCTGCCAACAGCAATCCTCTCACTGCAAGGCACACAGTGAGACGCCATCTGCTCGTGTTTCCCAGGGTGACCGGCAGCAGCTCTGTAGCCGCTCTACAGATGATTGCTCACATGTGCCTACCGGAAGGATGGCTGCTCAATGGCCCTCTGCTCCGGAATCTCCTCAGGCTCTGCTACCGCTTTGGGAGCAAGCTGGCTCCAAGGAACTTGTTAACATCCATGTGCCTTTTCCCCTTTCTGATCTATCCCAGATTGCCCATAAATTAGGTAGCTTTTCTGTTGACCCACAGAATTATATCAGGCAATTTGAATTCATTACTAATTGTTATGATTTACATTTTAAGGACGTTTATGTGATTCTAAATACCACTCTCAGCTCAGAAGAACAGAATCAGCTGTGGCAAGCAGTTCAAGAAGAAGCTGATCACAGACATGAGGTAAACACCGCTGATAATGACTCTGGGCCTATAGCTGTGCCAGGGCAGGACAAGCATACTAACTATAACAAACTTTTAAAACAGGTCCAGGAGGCTAATCAAAACTGGGCAGGCCCCAGTTCCTAAATTGGCTTTCTAATCCTCGAGCCCTGCAAGCAGTTCTAGCTTTGCGCGCTGTGTCAGGCCGCCTCCCAGCTCCTCCCCCATGCACCGTCCCAGCCCCTCCCTCCCCTGTGTGCCGTTGTCGTCGCCGCTGCCGCCATCTTACATGTTTCCGGGGACAGTCCCAGCCTGCCCCTGCATGCTACGTCCCAGCGCTTGCCCCACCCGCTGGGTGTGCTCTGCCGGAGCGTCACGAAACAGCAGCTCAGCAGCTCTGCTCAGGCATGCTTTTTTTACAATTCGGCTCCGCTCAAGAGATGCTATTTTTTATCACAATTCTCAAACCATTTAATCAAGGTTATTGGCCACCTGATAATTTTACCAGCCTTGTTTATCAATCAAAGCCTTCACCAATCTCCTGTTTAACAACTAAGGTTATAAATTTCTTTTGCTGGGAACCACTAGCTCTATTTCAAGACAAGGGTTTTCTTCAAAGTTTTATTTGTCTTGGTTCATACCACTGCAAATAACAACTTTAAAAGTAAATGTGTTCAGAATTTGACAGTATTAGATCAGTTTCGATAGATTTATTCATAAGATTGCTAAACCTTTACTGAAAAATGTTTCCATTAAAGCCTTTTTGGGCAGATTAAAGCTTTTTTTTGTTAATTCTATGTGTCACCCTAAAAAAAAAAAAGCAATATGCCATCCAGATAAAGCCTGCTCTCTAATCTAAAATGCCAATATTAAATTCCTGCATACTTACTTAATTCTACTATAGTCCAAATCCCAAACAAAAAAGGCAAAACTTGACCTTCAAACCTTATAGAGATCTTAATATGGTTTTCATATTTTTAACACTTGTGACACTTGGAGTTCTGAGACAGGTAAACCTACACAAGGTGGAGCTGCCTGGCCCCTCCATGGACCACGCTCAAATGCAGCAGAAGACATTGGGCAACAAAATGCCCCATCCTGGCATTCTTTGAGACCTTACTCTAGGGCTACTGGACTGTCCTAGCCACCAGAGAGTGGGTAAGTCATCCTAAGTAATAGCCCTCATAGGAAATGTCAACACTGCCAGATTCGTCACCGACAGAAAATTGCTGCTGAAGACTGAGGGGGTTCAGGGCAACAACAGCCCCCTTTAAGGTATCTATCTCAGATTCCAAGTCACACTACAGTCTCAGGTAAGACATTCTCTATATTTGTGGACATAGAGGCCATATATACAGAGTTCTTCCTGAGTATTCAGGCTGCTGTATTAAGTCCTCAATCTCTATGACAGGGTATTGATGGTCAACCTATGCCATTTATAAACAGGGCCTATTTTGTGCAGGTCTCAGTCCTAAATCTTAAAATGCCTTTTATACGGGCTGACTTAGACACACTGAGGCCTCAACAGCTTCCACCTGTTGTCACTGGCGGACCTCTCCTCAGTGATATAAGGCCACCCCCTTCCTTTCTTGTTCACCAATTTGTCAGACAACCCTGGTCAAGACTCACAGATACATTTTTGTCTTCTCACTTGGTTTATATTTTTTCAGGATACATAAAAGCCTTTCTCTACTTGCTAAAGTTCTGTTACAGCAAATCATTCCAAGGACTACAACCAGGTTACAGCGACCCATGCCTAAATCAAAGTTGCTAGACTGCCATTCTGGTTTCACATCACTCAGGCTAAGAGGTGCCCTTCCAGCCCTAAATCTGATCATTCTGAGTGGTCATCTCATCTTCTGTCACCTACCTGTCTCCGTCTCACAAAGGCCTCACAGCCACAGTTAACAGGCTAAGTCATGTTTTGTTATCCACTTTGGTTCCTAATTCCTTAATGATCATTTTTACAGCAGGACTCTTTAACAGTATTGCCTACAGACTCCAACATCATGCATACCAGAGACAAGCCTTACCAACCTACCGTCTTAACTTTTATGCTTTCAGATGGGGGAGTAAGCACCTCTCATAACTCCACTCCTTCTAACCCCGTGTTTAATTTTCAGAATTCTGCCTTACCATGGAAATGTTTCTACCTCAACATGGTCCTGATAGAATGATATGTTTAAATCAAAGGCACCTTTTCCTCTACCTCACCTGGGTCCTTAAATATGACAGTGCCATAACATCTTGTCTCTTTGTTTTTCCAGTCTGACATATGTGCATTCACAAGTGAAGCTGTCATGGCCAAAACACCTGGCACCAGCATCTACCTGGGCATCAACCTTCATCCCGTCAACTCCCCTAGGCTCCAGTACAGCGCCCTTTGCCAGCAGGAAGTACTTAAAGAGAGAAATCTTCGCCCCTTTTCATAATAATCATAAGACGGGATATGAAAGGATTTTGGCCCAGACAGGACACTGTAGCCAGGAAAGCCACAACCAGAAGCAGGAAGCCCCATCTCCCCTGCCCCTAGGAAGTTACCTGTGATGCCATCTTCCCGCTCCTGGGAATTTACATATGGCGCCAAACCTAGGACCAATGGGCTACCTGTGCATCCCTAATGCCCGCCTTAGGTTCCACCCCAAACCGAGGCTATTTACAGGCCCCCACGCCACGTGTCCGCCAGAGAGATTGCCGGACGCCAGCGGTGGGGGTGCCGGTCATCTCTCTCCGTGTTCTCAGAATAAAGGCCCCTTTTTATTTTATATTTCTCATCTTTTGTTAATATTTTTCATCTTTTGGAAATAACCCTAGCAGAAAGCATGAACTCCCTCCCAAGGGCTGGAGCAGGGCCACTGACACCCTGCCCAAATTACCGTGGTAGTCACGGAACTACTACTGAAGGGGCATTTTCCCCATGACTGTTGTTAAACTGCAAATTAAAAAGTATCAGAATGGTAACATTATTTTAGTTTAAGTTGACATATATAATCTACCATAGACATTTTAACTGTGTGCCTAAAGAGAAGAGAGCAGCTGTTCTTTCTACTCAGAGTCTCCCTTTCACCCATCCAGCGGTAGTAGACGGAAGTGAAAGGGCACTGAATGGAGGCAATTTAACCAAATGGAATTTTCAGTTTTGACCAAACCGACTAGTTTTGTGTGTGTGATAGACGGAAAGATAGTGAAAATGACTTTCCCTAAGTGTTGCTGCTAACAGAGTCCTGGCTGAGGGCCGCAGGCGGCCAGGGCCCAGGCTGGAGCACAACATGGCAGAGGAAGAGTTCAGAGATAAAGCCCTACATTTCCACATCACCAGAGAAGTAAAATGATGGGGAAAAGCAAAAGGACATAATAAGATCATATCTCCTTTCTTATGATCTGTACTGTGTATTTTAGAAAAACTCTGAGACAGAAAACCACAATGAGACCTGATTTTATAAAACGTCTTTACTTAAAAAAGGCAACCTCTTCAGAGGTTAACATGAATACATCTAAGTTACAACATACTTACATAAAATTATTGCTGGCAACTGTTTTACAATAAGTATTGAGCTGGGTGTGGTGGTACACACCTATAATCCCAGCAGCTGGGAAGCTGAGGCAGGAGGATTGCAAATTGGAGCCCAGCCTGGGCAATTTAGCAAGACTGTTTCAGAATTTAAATAAAATGGGGAGGGACATAGCTCAGTGTGAAGGATCTGAGTTTAATATCCAGTACCACCGAAAAAATAATAATAGTAACAACAACAACAACAACATCTATCGGAGCCACAATAATTCTGCTGAGTTTGATCCTGGTAAATGAAAGCCCCTCTGGATGAGCTGAGAATTCTGAGTTGGGGTGTAAAAGCGGGACACGGAGCTTTCTGTTGGAGGCTCTGGTGCTAAGGTAGAGGGTGACATGGGAAGGGGGACACAAAAGTGCTGGGGAGGTGATGGGAAGTGGGATGATGTGATGTGACCAGGGAAAGTCATAGTGAGGAAGTCTCAGTTGAAGCCAAGGTTTCAATGCTACTTGGATGTACACCAATCTCCCAAAAACAAGGTGATAATGAACGTATATGTCCTTGGGACAATTCACAGAAATCTCAGCTGGTCATTGGGTCTTTACCATGTGAGGAAGTAAAGTCTGAACAATTCTATTTTAGTTTAAAAAGACCACAGCAGGGATTTGGGTTACACAAGACTACTTAACACAGAGAGCTTTCCATACACATAAACACATTCGTCTCTCTACCATTACTTTAGAGTTCACATATTTTAAAATAAAGAGATGGAGAAAGAGATGAAAATCCTACATAAACATTCAAACCTCAGCTTTAAAGTACAAAACATCTCTCATATAGTTTTCTGTATGAGCATTTCTTTTGATGATGTTGGCACTGCATAGAAATCTTCCGGTGAGTGACACGGTTTCAGTAATACATGTTTTTATCCCACCAACCTGTAGAGGTAACAACAAGTGTGTCAGAAATGGAGAGCCTCTGGAAGGCAGTGCAGAATCTCAAAAATCACATTGTTGGGCTAGGGGTGTATCATTGTGGTAAAGTGCTTTTTTAACATGTGCTAGGCCTTGGGTTCCACCCCCAGCACCACACACACACACACACACACACACACACACACACACACAGACAGAGAAATGTATTCCTACTTACTCCCAGGGTAGAGCCTGAGGAAGAGTTTTCGTACTTCATCATACACCCAAATCAAGATGGCATGTGGGACAGCCACAAACCAGTACTGAACCCTAGAAGCAGAGGGGAGTGAGGGGAGTCCAGCTTTTCCAAAGGGATAACCCAGTCCCTGGCTACCAGGCAGAGAAGTCTCATTTTTCCAGCCTTATGGGAAAGCACAACAAACTTACTCTGCTATACAACACAATGCTCCTAACTTAACCTGGGTTGTGATCACTAGAAGCAGTATCTGCCATTCATACAACCTTTTGGATATGGGTAGAGATGGCCTGGTGGGGCCTTAGAAACCCACTGCTTTCTTTTTTGGGGGTGGGGATGGAAATGGGCAGGTCAGATGCTGGACTTAGCACAGAATCAGTTTGATCTCTTTGGAAAGACTTAAGCAGAAGATTTTGCAAGAATCTTAATATTCATTTAGGCTGTAACAGTGAAAACAGGGGCTGCATCCTTCCTCCAGGCTGATGAAAGTGAACTCACCTGAGCATGGTGAAATTCAGGGCTGTGATGCTCCCAAGGCCACAGGAGAGAATCAGGGCAACGATGATCTGTGAGGTGATCCCCACCCAGATAACTTTATTTCTGTAACAGACCACATGAACAGACTCTAATCAGCAGCTCCCTAATCTTACACCCAGTGCGCTGTGCCATGGTGGAGTCAGTCAATGCCTTCTGTTACGGGTGTGGCCATGGGTAGGTCCTATGAAGGAGCAGCCTCCTGCATCCTGGCATGGTGGTGCCTAAACCATGAAATAAGGAAGTACCTGACATTGCAAACCATGTCAGGAAACCATGGCATAGGAAGTACCTGAACAGACCCTGCTGGAAGATGGAATTCCTCCGGGTTTTCCTGATGATCAGATCTGCTATCTGCTGAACCATGATGCCAACAAAGAAGGCTGTGTAGCCTGTCCACTCAAGGTATTTCCTCTGGTACCTTGTCTGTGAATGGACAGGAAAGATGAGACTGAGACCTGGAGAAGAACTCCAGAGAAATGTCAGTGTTGTTCTGCAAAGCTTGATCCTCTCACCAGATTGAGGGTAAAGCAGCTCCTTATGTTTGAAAAGAAAGCTCTATTTCTTTAAGCCAGCCAAGTAGGGAACATATTAATTTATTTGGTTCAACTGAGGGCATTATTGGACTAGTTACACGTCCACATGCATAGCAAAGGTAATGTAAAAAGGGCAGTGCTTAGGTCTAGTTTGAGAGATGGGGCTGAGTTCTGGCAAAGCTTGAACCAGGGTCACCAAAAACTCCCTTCCCCCATGAACTGAGATGGTTTTAGGGGTCTCATCGATGTCACTTAGAAAAATGAAGGTTTTGTGTCCTTCCAGGCTAGAGAGAGAGACGAGAGGACAAGAACCACAAGATGCTGGCATCAGAGCTCCCAACTCACCCATTGCTGACCATAACTGTCTTCCAAGTCATTCACGTAGTCCTGTTCCCATTTTACCCGCAGTTGAATGAGAGAAGTGGGCCAAAAGCCCTGCTGTGCGTAGACAGTGAAATACACGAGGAAAGCTCCCAGGGCCTGCATGAGGCCTAAAAGGGTGAGTGACATGGTCAGACTCTGTGGCAGCCTCTGAGAACCACCTCACTGTCCTGGGATTCCTCTCAGTCCGTCCTGCCAGCCCACATCACCTCTCAAAGGAATAGCACGTTTTCAGGGAGGAATGCTTTCATCATACCAATATGCAGGTAAGAGTAGATGGCAAGCTGGTGGTTCACTAGCCTGTCCTTTTTCTTGTGGCGTGGCTTCCTGTTCATAATGTCACTTTCAACCTTCTCATATGCCAAGGCGATGGAGGGAATCTAGAGGAAAGGAAAGGAGGGCTATGAAGTCTAAGCCTGGGCACTCAGTCTCAGCACTGCCATGCAGACAGCCAGTGACCTAATGAAGTGGGTGGGAGGATCTGGATGGCGGTGGGGGTGGTGAGAATGGGGAACTGGTTGATCCAGTTCCCTGCAGCAACAGGAGATGCCCTTGTCTGTGTGGAATTTGACAGCTGGATTTAAAAATCCATCTGCTTTTGCGTTGGAGATACAGTGCCATGCTAGAGCACTTGCCTGGAGTGCATGGAGCCTGGGGTTTACTACTCAGGACCATGATGGGGAGAAAAAAAGAGAAATCAATCTTTTTATTATTGCCATATATTGGTAGTTCTAAATAATGCTTACTGTAAAACACCTGTCTCTTCCTCCAAGGGTTTCTCATACTACCCTTTCCATTTTGGCATGCAGTTGGACCCCAAAGCAATGTGGTAGAACAGTGTCCTCTCCCAGACTCTGCCAACAAGAGGACCTTTTGAGTCAGATCCCTGAGCTCCACCACCAGGCTTCCTGGGCTGGGAACTTTGCATTTCTAACAGGTTCCACATTTGGAGAACTACTAAACTGGGAAAAGTGAGCAAATTTTAAAGACTAGGAAAGTTACCTGTGTACTGTGGGGACTATTCCCCTTAAAGGTTAAGACATGCCTAGTCTCCCCCAACACAGAGAATACACTGGGTATTCCATCAAACAAGAGGGAAGAAGAAGGTAGTTTGTAAGGCTATATTCATGCTGAATTCAGCTTATTTCCTCTGGGAATGAGTAAGTCAGAGACACATGGGGCAAGAGGGGACACTAGAAGAGGAGAGGTTCAGGGGATATTATTGTAGGACGGGGCTTTGTAAGCCTTAATAACTGCTATTTTGTACTGCGGTTAGGTAAGCAGCGTCCAGATCAGATTCTCCAAGGGGTGTGGTCCTGGGGTTAGTGCTTTAGCCACTGGGCCCTCAAGGCACATGTACTATTTGGGTAATTTCTTTATCTGCCCCAAACAGTGAGGAGGCACATGGGCTAAAACTGACCACTAGCGTATTTTCTGAGGGGTAGAGTCATGTCTTTTTTTTTTTTTTTCAGTGCTGGGAATTGAACCCAAGTGCTCTGCCATGAGCTACATCGCAGCCCCACGATTTATATCCCGAAAAGTGCTACACGGAGTGGTTTTAATTTCTAAATTCTTGATAGCAGTCTCTAGTCTCTTGCTTTCAAGTGTAGTCTGTGGAGAAATAGCACTGGCATCACTTGGAAGCTTGTTAAAAACACAGCACTTCAGGCTTTACCTCATGGTGATAAAGTTTCAGAAGCACTGAGTTTGGCCATCTCTTGGCCCTTGATAATAACTCTGAATATACAAAGTTCTTGTAACCCCTAGGGTGGCTATTAGACTGTTCCCTTTTGAATCACTTACTATATCTGTGCCCAGGTCAATGAACAGGATGGTAATGGTGCCAATGGGCAAGGGGAGCCCGACAATTATGTAGACCAAGAAGGGGCAAAGTTCAGCAATGTTCTTGGTCAAGGTGTATGCAATGGTCTTCTTTAGGTTGTCAAAGATCAGGCGACCTAGGGAAAAATGTATCTCTTTATAGAACTTGTTTATCAACCCCCTCCCCCAGGCAACTCTGGCAATTGGGAAGACACCTTGAGTCCCTACTCACCTTCTTCTACTCCTGTGACAATAGATGCAAAATTGTCATCCAGCAAGACCATGTCAGCTGCATTTTTAGCAGCATCAGAACCTGCTATCCCCATGGCAATCCCAATGTCTGCCTTCTTTAGGGCCGGAGAGTCATTCACGCCATCCCCTGTCACTGCAACAACTGCATTCTGTGGGTATCCAGTGAAAGAATGAGGGTAAATGGGCTTGAGGGGCCACTGGTTGTATGTGTGTAGCTTCTGTGCAAATACTACCTCATCTTATATAAGGAATTTAAATATCCACAGATTTTGGTGTCCTTGGGGTTCCCAGAACCAAGCCCCTGTGGCTCCCAAGGGATGAATGTATCCACTGTCTTCATACGTTTAGTGTTATATTTTTACATCTCTCAGTATTCTATAGCCACAACTATCACATGTGGGATACAATGCAGAGATCTGGGCAGTGTGCAGCTGTGAGGGCCTCTCAGAAACAAACATGGCATCAGCCTACTTCTCCAGGGACAAGACAGGCCTGGCCAGTCACCTGAGCACTGCCATCCACTTACCTGCCTCTGACAGCCCTCCACAATGATCAGTTTCTGCTGCGGTGATGTCCGGGCAAAGACAATTTCTGGGTAGTTGGCTAAGATCTCATCCAGCTGTTCTGGGGTCATGTCCTTCAGCTCCATTCCAGTTACCACAGCGGCTCTAGCATCCCTGAAAAGGCCAGAAAAAACTTGGTGAAATCCAGGGCTAGATTTTAGGTTGAAACACTGTTCTGGCCAAGGAATAGGCAAGTCTTTTTTGGCTTTGTCCAGAAAACAATATCCTTGACATTTGATAGTCTGATTAGATTTCAGAGGCCAGAGGTAGTGGAGACATTCTGGTCTCCATTTCAAGATAGTAGTTAAGGTCTTGTAGTAACAGGGGGAAAAAATATCACTTAACCTTTCTCACTCAGGAATGAGTAAGCAGTGTGTGTTTCCTGGGGCAGTGCTTTACTTCACAAGGAAAAGTATGGTAAAAACAGACCGCTTGGGACTAGGGATGTAGCTCAGAGGTAGAGTACTTGTTTGGCACCTATAACCCCTGGATTCAATTCCGAGCAGGACCAAAAATAAATAAAGAGCAAAAACAAACAAGAGCCAATCAAGGTGTTGCACACTTTAATCCCAGAACTCTGCGAGGTTGAGGCAGAAGGATCACAAGTTGGAGACCAGGCCTCAAAGTTAAAAATAAAAAACTGGTGAGGATGTAGCTCAGCATGAAGGTCCTGAGTTCAATCCTCAGTTCTAGCAAAACAACAAATGAAACCAAATCAAATCATCAACGAAACAAAACAAAATTAAAAAAAAAATGTTTCTAGATCCCAGAATTCCCTTAGGTTAATAGATATAAATAAATAAATTCTTTACTGTTACTTATTTCAGGTTTGTAAAAGTCTATGTGCAAAGTATTCTTAGGGGAAAGGTTTGTTGGAGTCTTTTTTGAGCAGGATTATTTCTGCTCCATATAAAAGTAAGACTCTGGGATTCTTGATTTTGTGGATCTGAAAGGGCCACTCTTCTGCTAAAGTTGGGGGCTTTCTGCTGTGCTCCAAGCAGATTCTGGGATCCTTAACTTGATTTGGCAGCAGGGCCAGGTGTGGACTGCAAGGTCATGGCCTGAGATACTGAACTTTGCCTCCTGCTAGGCTCTACCTCCAGCTCAGGGGTCTCCCTGTTTCTGAGATCCCCTGAGGCCTGCATAGTTCTCCTTGCCAGAACTAGGGAGTCTCTCCCCCTCAGCTTCCCTTGCAAGCACTACACATTTTGGCCTTCAAATCTTAGCTTAAATACTGACAGTACAGATCACTGCATACCTTTTTCTTTATATTTTGTAAGTTTTGAGCTTTTCTTGCTTTTCTTCTTGGTGCTAAATATTGGAATTCTAGCACTTGACTTAAGCTGCACATTCTTCCTGTCAGTAAAAACCCCTGAGGTATGATACAAAGGAAAAGCTTCTTCCTCTCCTGGTATAGCTGCAGGGTAACGTTCTGATATGGTCATGAAGCCGGAGCTGACGAAGTGGGTCAATGAAAACAGTCACAGAAGTGTCTACTTCATGCTTCTGTTCAGTGTGATAAAGTACATGAACTGTATAGTCCTAGTATTTTTTAAAAAAATGAACCAACTAAACAAACCCCAAACCTGTTTTTACAGAGGGATGTTACTTATACAAAATGAAGCTGAAAACTGAGACTTCATACTTGCTGCTGTGCCCAGGGCTATCTTCTGGCTGGCAAGCTTTCTTGATAATTTATTACTTAGCAATACTTGATTAGTTGATAGCCAGCTCTGTGTTTGCAAAAGGCATAAGTGCCTGGGTAAAAGAGAACAGTCATAGGTTTTTCCTTTCCCCCTGAAAATAGAATCCAAACCAGATGAGGTGGCTGGCAAATGCCTATATTCCCAGCTCCTTGGGAAGCTGAGGCAGAGGGATCACAAGTTCAAGGCCATTGAGGGAAACTTAGCAAGATCCTGTCTTGAAATAAAAGGGCCTGGAGGTGTAGCTCAGTGGTGAAGCACGTGTCTCAAGTGGAGCTTCGAGTTCAATTTCTAGTACTGGAAAAACCAAACCAAAACCCCCTTCCACAAAAACAGCAACCAAAACTCAAACCAAACAAAAACTATAGAAACTGGTGACCTTTCTTTGCAACCTGAGATTCTGGAGCCTTTTATTCACTCAGACCTTTCACAATCCAGGCCGCTGTCCCTTTCATTATGCTGATTACATCCCAATTAGTTTTCTTTCCTGTCTTCCTAGCTACACAGAAAGTTCCCCAAGCACATGAGGGCAGTATCTGTTGACTGCAGTAGTGTATGTGCCTGGCACATAGTTCACACTCAAAATGTAACTGTTGAAAGAATTAACTGGTGAATACATGAATAGATGTTTGAATTATTAAAAGAATTAAAAGACGGCCAGGAATTTAGCTCAGCAGCATAAGTGCCTGCCTGGCAAGTGTAGGTGGTGAGTTTGATCCATGGTACCAAAAAGAAATAAAATATAAAATAAAATACTAGAAAAAAGAAAGAAAAAAGCTTTCCTTAAGAAGCTTCCATTCTATTTACTACCAAATAGAAAGAATATGCTTACACAGCTATACAATGTGAAGCCAAGTGAATCCATAGCTAAGTACCTAAGATGCTCATTGGATATGGTGATATATGAAACTCAAAGGGTTCTTAATATTTCTGATGATACAACTGGATTGATGGCAAGTGATTTGTATATAAACCTTTTTTTAGTTTTTCTCTAAATGGAACACACAGGTTTTTAGATCTATTGTCTTGTGCCACATGACTCCAACCTGTGACAGAAGTCCTGTAAGATGTTGCCACCTAGCGATTCTGTAGTTACATTGGCTTGTGTAAATATAGTTTATTATGCTTGCACAATGATGGAATTGCATTTCTTAGGACATTTCCCTGTTATTAAGCTATACATCACTGAACTTATTGGATTTTGATATTTCAGATGACCAACACATAGAGTTATTTTCATAGCACTGGTATGGTTCTTGGTATGAATTAGGTACTTGGTAAACTCTTGGGTGAATGATTAGATAGATAAATTACTTTGTATAGGTCAAACCAGTCAAGCATTACCCTGAGAGAATGTGTGACAAAAAAGGTGATCTGTTCCACAGTACAGCTCTTTAGCTGGGTACAAACTTGAGTTTCTGCTACACTGGTTCTGTGCTTACTGTTTGTTAACTTGCTCCACAGCAATGTTGCAGCGTTTGGCAATGTCTTCCACTGTCTCGCTGTTAGCTGAAATGATTCCCACGCTCTTGGCGATAGCTTTGGCTGTGATGGGATGATCTCCTGTAACCATAATGACCTAGAGCAAAGACAAGAAGGACTTGTGGGCATGAAGAACTAGGCTGGTGGCAGCAAGGTTAACAGTTTAGCATCAGGACCTGGCGAGTATTATTCATGGCTGTGGCAGCTTGCTTTATGGGAAGTTCTGGATCTAAAATGTAACTGTCATGAAGGATGCGCTGGTCCCATCGGGTCTACCCTTACTCCTAGGCTCCTTCCGTTTTCTTCTCTGACACTAGAGGAAGCTCTTCTACTTTGATGTCACTTTATTTGTGGAAAGGGCCTATAGATGTCTACCTGAGGCAGCCCCATGTTGCTGCAACAGTCCTGAAACCAACATGGTATTAGACACTCATATTTTATTTTTAATATCATGAAGATAAATAGATGATGGAGGCTGAACCTCAAGATTAAGTAGTAACACTTTATTACCTATCATGGCCTATGGTAAGATATGGTCAATTCATAGCATCATGAGATTTTCACTGTAGTTACTATTGTGGTAACTATACAGAGACACAATCCTATTACTTTCTCAGGCCAGTTATTGAAATCTTAGCACAGTAAAAGTAGAGATACTATGGGGACTATGATATGTACTAGAAGATCCTAAATACTCTTTGTGTCTTTTGACCAAAGTTATTAGAAAGGGCTGTTTTAAATTAGGAAAATAACTCCCACCTTGATCCCTGCACTCCGGCATTTGGCAACGGCATCTGGCACAGTGGACCGAGGAGGATCGATCATGGACAGAAGTCCCACGAAGCAGAGGTTAGAAGTGGGAAAGTTCATGGTGTCTACATCAAATGAGTAGTTCTCTGGAAACTCATGTGCTGGCAGGTAGAGATGACAGAAACCTGAAATGCATATGAATTTGGGAATCAATGAGACAAGGATAAGGAATGACAAAAGTAAAGAAGATAGAGCTTAGGGACTGAGCAGGTGCTTAGCATTTGTGGGCCCTGAGTTCAATCATCAGCATCACAAATGAATGAATGAAAATCTCAGTTCTTTATTATTTATTGTTTTATCAATACATTAGCTTATACTGAATAGTTTAATTTCTTCAATTCCACAATATATGCTTTTTTTTTTTAAAGAAAAAAGGAAACATATTTTATCCAAAATAATGTATTATGCTCATTAAGTCTAGAGGTATAAAGACTAAAGTAAGTAAAATGTACAGCCTTTACTTCTGAACATATGCCTGTTGTGTGGTGGAACCAAGAGCTAAAGCAACCAAGCATATTAAAATGTGGTATAAACTGCGGAGTCAAGCTATACTTCAGCTACATGGGGAGGCAGGTGAGACTTTCCCAGAAGGTCACATGTGAGATACATGATCTTTCCAGGGAAAGAAGGGAAGGTTAGGGGTGAGAAACTCATTTTAGGCAGAAAAGTCAGCACAAGATATTTCACAACATGGGGAAGGAAATTTGGGCATCTGGTGAGCAGTAAAAAGCTCAGTCCTTAAGCAAGAAAAGAACATCAGAAAGATCATTAGGAATGGGGCAGAGCCATCATCCTTTCCCCCCGAACATCAGCCAGATTGAAGTAGAAGATATTTCTGTGTTTGGTGGAACCTCCCAGATAGTAGCTTCACAAATGGCGTGCCTCTGAGCAGCTCACTCGTGCTGCAAAGCGCCCCGTGTTTTCTGCTGAGTCAGGACAACAGCCCAGTTCCTCAATCATGTATTCAAGCCCTGTAATTTGTGTCTGTGGCCCTGCTTTCCACACCTATGCCATCTCGCCTATCCTGCAACACATGGCATGGGCTGGACCACTGCACCCTGTGTGAGTATGCCCTATCCCTTTCTGGGTGGCCTCCATGGTCCTCATTTCCCTTCCAATACTGCCATTCAAAGGTCAGTGAAAAATGTGACTCCTTCCTGGAAGTCTTTAAGTTTCCTTGTCTGGAAGGAACCCCATTCTTTTTGGAGCTATTATGTTGCATCCTCTTACATGTTTCCATCTTGTTTATATTTTTTTTTTCAGTGCTGGGAATCTAACCTGTATCCGTGCAAGTGCTAGGCAATCGCTACCACCTAAATATATCCCCAGCCCTTCACTTTTTTGTGATTCATGTGACACAATCACTACTCTGCTAGCTCCTGAGGCATCATCATCTGTGCCTCCCAAGAGGTGGGCAGCAATTCTGCTGCCTGCACTCACCTAACACGCGCTCGCCCATGCCGCCCAGCTCCATGTAAGCTGTGTGGAAGGCATTGGCATTGTTCTTGTCCAGTGGCTGCTCTTGGCCATTGATCATGATGGTGCTGCACTTCTCTAAGATCCTCTCTGGCGCCCCCTTCATCACCATGAGGAAACGCGGGTCTCCAGGGTCTTCTGTCTCATGTATGGACAGCTGGGAGGCATCAATAGAGCATGTTAGATGTAGTAACGTTTACCATAGCTCTCCCAGCTAGCAATGGGACAAGAGGGGAACACAATCCTTTCTCCACTTGTCTGTGAGATATAATGGTGGAAGAGGAACCCTTAACATCCCCAGGTATGACCTATCCACTTTTTTTCCCCTGCCAATTAATAACCAGAGACCAGAGGGACATGGAATACATATGAAGTGAAGCTTGTATTTCAGACAGAAACAGGTTATTGCTGGGTATGGTGGTACATGCCTGTAATCCCACCACTCTGAAGTTGAGGTAGCAGGAAACTTAGTGAGACTCTGTTAAAGCAAAACAAAACAAAACCACCAAAAATGCTTAGTGCAAATCCTCAGTACTGAAGGACGGGGGCAGGGGAAACTGCGTGGTTCAAGGTTCTCCTCAGCCAGGACCAGCCCTTGAGGCTGTGAGAGTGAGCCTCAGTGGCTCAGCTCCTCTCCCTCCTGTGGTGAGCAGCCAACTTTCACAACTCTTGAGCAGAGCAGGAATTCCTGTGCCGCTCTACCTTGGGTTCAATCCAGATGCATTACGTGGACATAAAAGAAGATGACAGAGGTGTGGGGAAGAGGATACTGTCATATATGGCCTTTCAGGAGGACAGCTAATGAATGGGGTCACAAGTTTGACAGGAAAGAGGAATGAGAGAGGGAGGGAGAGGGAATGGAGAGGAGGGGAAGGATACATAAAACAAACTAAAATGTATTATAGACGTGGACCAGCTTCCCATGAAGAATGTAATGATTATGTCCTACCCACATATCCTAATAAAAATCAAATTTAAAATGTTTTGACATGAATACCCTTTCCCAGCCATTCTACCCCTAGAAGCATCCTAGTAAGATTACTAGAAACTGTAAGAGAATCATAAAATGGCTCACTTTCTTAGAACTCTTATTATATACTCTTTGTTCTAAGCATACCAAAGACTTTTAGAAATATTTTTTCTTCCTTTCCTTTCCTTTCCTTTCCTTTCCTTTCCTTTCCTTTCCTTTTCTTTTCTCTTTTCTTTTCTTTTCTTTTCTTTTCTTTTCTTTTCTTTTCTTTTCTTTTCTTTCTTCTTAAATTGTTTTTGGTACCAGGTGTTAAACTTACAACCTCATGCTTACCAGGCAAGCACTTGAGCCACTGAGCTAAATCTCCACCTCCTTTAGGAAACTTTTTCAATCTATAATCTTTGGGAGCAAATAGGTCACAAAGAAAAATTCTGCCAGTTAACAATTGATTTCAAATTGATAGTTTTTGGACTTTGGGATATCAATATTGAGTACAACTAGAAAAAAATAGCAGAGGACAAACAGGGTTGCTTATGGCTTTTTCTTTTTATGGCCAAGTAATGACACTAAAAAAAACCCAAAAAGCCAATTAATTTACCCAAAACATTCCAATCTATTCTCACCTCCCAATCTACACTTACCATCATTTTATAAAAAATAGGACAGAGCTTGAGGTGTAGTTCCCTGGCAAAGTGCTTGCCTGGCATTCCCAGAGCACTGTGTTTAATCTTCAGCATAGTCAGGAACAAAAAAAAGGTGTTTTCATACTTAAAAATAGGAAGCATAAACACTTTTATGGTGTGTACTACATGCTAGGCACTGTTTATGTTTTGTACACGGACCCATTTCATCCTTAACATGTTTCTGAGAAATGGCAGTGCAGCATAATGTAGAGTTCCTATAGCGTGTGCATGGGCTGGGCTTGATCCCCAGCATTAAGGAGAAGGAAAAAAAGCCAAGAGCACAGTTACTACCTTTCAGAAAGGGGAAACTGAGGCATGGAGAAGTTCAATGGTCATACGAGATGTTTAGATAGAATTTTTTTTTTTTTTTGCCATGCTAGAGATTGAACCCAGGGCTTAATACAGCTAGACAAGAATTCTACAACAGAGCTACAGCCCAATCTTAGGCTGAGGTTTGGAACCATGGTAACAGGCTCCAGATGCCTGAATCATGGGGGATATAAATGATACCCTTTTAAATGAAATACATTCATCTTTGTGTAAAATTTTATGAAGAACTATCCTAATTTTCTAATTTCCCATAAATTGTTTTATTGTATTTACCTGCATTGTTTTTTCAGTACTATGATTCAAACTCAGAGCTTCTCATACACTGGGCAAGTGCTCTCCACTGAGCTACATCACACCCTTTTTTTTTTGAGACAGGATCTTGCTGATTGCCCAGGTAGACACTGAAATTGCAGTTCTCTTGCTTCAGCCTTCAAAATAGCTGGGATTAGAGGTGTGTGCCACCACTACCAGCTTGCTGTAATCAGTTATAAGTATTTTCATGCACAATCCCTTTGGGCATAGCTATTTTAAGACTATAAAGGTTTGGACTTTCCAATTTTCTTTTCCTTCTACTGAATGATACACAGAGACCTCCAGGGCCACGACTTCTAAAGCCTCATTTAAGTAGGGTGTTGCTTATGTATAAAAGGCCCTAATGGCACCCAAGGGAGTTGTTTTTGCAGTACTGGGTGTTAAGTCATGGCCTTCTGTGCTAGGTAAGCACTCTACTCTTGGGTTCCACCCCTCCCTCAACAGTATCTCTGACTTCTTTTGTGAAGGCTCACATAGGCCTGCTCCCCACGTCAGGCCCTAATCTGTGTGGTCCACTTTTGCCATAGGAAGACCCCAGAGCCTGCCTTCTCTCACTTCTCACGTGGCAAGAAATGCCTCTGCTGTGGTAGATGGAGCCTCAGCAACATTCCACATCCTGCTCCTACCTGCAGACCATCAGCCCAGCCTCTACTAGCGCTGACTTTCTGCTCTTTTTGACTTCTGGCTCTGTCCCTCACAGCTGTATACCACCCTCTGTACCTTGGTTACTTATCCTCTGCCTGCTTTAGAGTCACGGCAAGAAGGAATGATTTCATGTGTATGGAAATTAGCTCAGAATAGCTAACAGTAGTAGTATTATGGTACTGTCATTTTAGAATCATTGCTCATTCTATCATTCTATCTTCAGGTATGTTTCAAATAACACATCTGATTTCCTGGCTTTAAAATTCTATGTCATATATTTTTATTAGCTGTTGCTGTTATTTTTTGTACCATAGACTGAACCCAGGCCCTTCAAACTAACTTTCATCCCCAGACCCTTTAAAATTTTGATTACCCAGGCTGTGTCTGAACGTGTGATCTTCCTGCCTCCATTTCTTAGAGTATCTAGATTATAACGATGCACCACCAGGCCAGACTCCCCTGCTTTAAAATTTTACACTATAGATTTTTTTGTACCAGGGATTGAACTCACGACCTCATGCTTGCCAGGCAGGGTGCTAAGCTAAATCCCAGTCCCTACATCATATATTTTTATTAATTGTTTACTTATAGAGCTAACCACAACTCTCTAGTGGCTCATTATCCACAAAGCTGTCTGCAACACAACTGTTCACTAATCCTAAACTGTATCTAAACCAGTATGAATGGACAGTTGCTAGAAATTTCCTTACATGTGATTATTCTCTTTCTATACAGACATTACACATTGCATAATGATATTTTGATCAAGGAGGAACCACATGTACAGTGATGGTCTCATAAAATTATAGTGGAGTTGACAAAATTGCCTAGTATTTTTACGGTACCTTTTCTATGTTCAAATACATTTAGATACACAAATACTTACCACTGAATCACAAGTGCCTACAGTACTCAGTGTTGTAACAGGTTAAACAAGTTTGTAGCTTAGGAGCAACTGGCTATGCCACCTATAAATGATACCAGTAGTGGTATGAGCCATCCAAGCTCATGTAGATATACTCTGTGATGTGTGCACAGTGATGAAACCACCTAACAATTTCTTCCTCAAATGTATCCTCAATTTTAAGCAACATATGACTGTACTTTACAGTTATGCAAAGCCCAAGTTACGACCCCTGGCTCTCTGGGGGAAGCCCCATCTACAAGGTCAAGGACCTTGAGTTGTAAACTCCTGTTTATGGGAACACAAGCAGGATGGAGATAGTCTGCTGGCCACTCCTGAAGTGATGAGAGAAATAGGGCCAGGCTGGTCATGTTCTTCCTGAGCAGTGGGTAGAATTGAGAGCTCTATCAATGGAGCCACAGGTGAGACAGGAAAACTGTGCCTGATCACCCGAGAGACTTGTTCTCCTCAAGGGAAACCTTTCCACGCCATCAGACAGAATTGTCCTGCCTACATGCAGTAGAAAATGTATGCACTTTGGACTCCATGAATTTGCCTTATCTATGAATTGGAATTCATTGGTTCTACCTTGTGGGCTTGTTGTGAGAATTCAGTGAGAAATGTAGGAAAAAAACCTGTTACACATGATTGTTGTTTGATATTCTCAGGAGCTTGTGAGGATATCAAAATTCAAGTCCCTCATATTAAATCACACAGTATTTGCATGGAACCTATGCACATATTCCTATAGTCTTTCAGTCACCTTTAGATGACTTATGCCACCTAATAACATTGATGCTAGGCAAGCTGTTGTTATAATGTAGTGTTCAGGGCATAAGAAAAGTCTGTGTATATTTAGTGCAGATGCAATTATTTTGTTCTTAAATATTTTGATCCCCAGTTGGTTGCATCTATTTATGTGAAACTGGAAGGTATAGAGGCCCAACTGTACTCAGCGAGCAATAAATTTTAGTTCTTACAACTTCCCCTATTTCCCATTTATCCTATGTCACGTGGCTGGCACTCTTCACTTGTACACAAGTTACCTGGTGGCGGGGGTGGTGGTGTGTAAGTGGTGTGTGTCTGTGACATGCGTGGATCCTTCATAGGAGAAGCAGGCCTGGAAAGCTCTTTACTTTTTTTCACCTTCTCCTCTTCTTTAGGGAAAGCAAGAAACAAGGGAAAACCACCATGTGTTTACCAGATCCCCAGGCCCTCCATCCCTCAAGGACTATTTCTAAGGCCAGGAATCTTTCATGTTATGGGATAATCAGTGGATATGTGCAGGTAGAAGTGTTTTAGTGACAAAAGAGGCTGCCAGTTGTGAGGAAAAACTCACCTGAAATTTGTTAGTAGAGTTAAAAGGAATTTCAGCTACTTTTCGGTTTCTTTTTCTTATTTCCATTACATCACCCAAAATGACCTCAGAGAATTTCAAAAGAGCAGTTTCTGAAGCATCGCCAACCACAACTCTCTGAAAGTCAAACAAGATAAATATTTTCAGTACATAAGCTGGGAGACAAGGTTGTCACATGACCACCAGTGCCTGAGTCAGGACCCCAGTGAGGATGTAAAGCAATGTGGCTGCCTGCTGGATCAAATAAGTGAGAGCTATGTAAGGAAAAGGTTCCTTAGCTCTGACAAGACAGGAGCCACGTAGGAATGGGCTAAAGGAAGCCTTCTAGAAACCAGAATAACATGAATAGAGGCATGGAGGATTCCACTGTGAGAGCTGGAAACACAGGTGGATGTGGAGGATGTAGTAGGTTTTGAAGTCTCTAACAGGCAGGCTGAGGTCTCGACTCAAGAAATGAAAACTAGAGAATGACAGGGAGTTTTGAAAACGTGAGATGGAGACAGAATCAGTAGTTCTGGAAAACTGAGAAGGGATAAACCAGGATCAAAGAACCAGTGAGGAGGTTGCTTCTTTAATACCTTATTTGCAAGACAGTAGTAATAGCACAAATGTAAAATTATGCAGATTGGGGCTGGGGATTTAGCTCAGCAGCATAAGCACCTGCTTACAAGCAGATGGTTGTGAGTTCGATCCCTGGTACCGTTAAAAAGTTAAAAAAAATTATGCAGATTTTGAAGCCAGAATGATAGGACTTGGCTCACTGATGGATATTAGGAAAGGAGAAAGATAAAAGTGACTTCTAAAAGTATTGACTAGATGACAAGCAGAATGCTTATGCAATAGAAAACCCAAAAATTTGGGCAAGATACTAACAAGCTAGGTACAGGCAGAAGGTGACAGGTGTCATCTGTCCTGAGGCTATGTGATAGAACTTCCAACAGGATACACAGGGCATGCTGTGGTTCACACTGGGCTTTGCGTGAGAAGTCAAAATTGGACATAAAAATGTGAAAGGCAATGACACGAAAGCAACTGGCCAAGAATGTCAAAGAGCTTTCTGAGAGGGGAAGAAAAACAAGCACACACACACACACACACACACACACACACACACACACAAATGAAAGAAGGGGGAAGGCTCACCAAGAAAAATAGGTGGTAATTGGAAAACTCTGGAGAATGGATTCAGTGTCTTATTGAGATGGAGAAGAAGAAAGAGCAGGGGATGGAAGTAGATGGAAAGAAGCAGGGGAAGGGGAGACAGATGAGAAAAAGGCAGCAGAAGAGGAGGAGGAGGTGGTGGCGGAAAGTTTACCTTACAGTCTGCTATTTCAGGACCGCTCAGATCCCATCTACTCTATATTTCGGTCAAGAGGAACAAGCACTAGGAGAGATCCTTTATTTCCATCCAATTTTATTTTAAACTTCAGTGGATGGAACTTGTAATAAACTTTGATTATACCCACTTGGGAGGAAAGTAACTTAAAGGCACATTTATTTTCTAGAATGAGATAGAATTTTCAAAAGAACCTAAATCAACATTCTGAGATCTTGAACCAAGTATGGTAGCACACACTTGTAATCCTAGCACTCAGGAGGCTGAGGCAGCATCACCACAGGTTTGGGGTAAGCCAGGGTTACACGAAGAGTTCAAGACCAGCCTAAATAACACAGTGAGACCCCATCTCAAAAAACAGATAAAGAAATAAAGAAACAAGCAAACCCCACATTCTGAGGTCAGCTAAGCATCTCTGAGATTTCCAAAGTTAGCTGGAATAAAGAAAACCTTCTACACGCACTTGAGTCACACTGCTCTTACTAGTATAAACTTTCTTCTGTTAGATTAAATCACTCAAGTGGAACACAGAATAACTTCATGCTGGCTGTGATATAACACTAAGTGATACGGTAGCTTTACCTTCATAATGGGGACATTTTCCTGTCCTGGCCTGAACTCGGCTCTGTTACACAGTGCTATTATCTTGGATAAGGAGGCCCAGGTTCCAGAGCTTTGGTCAAAGGCTTGGTCTGGAGAAGAGAGAGAACAGAGGCATCGTGGGTGCTGGGCTGTCATGCCTGAACCACCCTCCACATGATGTACTGCTGCTCAGCCAGGCTTTGGGTCAGAACAAAGGTTCCAGAAAACTCACTTGATTGGCTTTCACTCGTATCGGCCGTGAAGATCTGACTGTCGAACCACAGATGTGCCACGGTCATCCTGTTCTGGGTCAGCGTCCCAGTCTTGTCTGAGCAGATGACAGAGGTGGAGCCTAGCGTCTCCACTGCCTCCAGGTTCTTCACCAGGCAGTTCTTCTTGGCCATCCTCTTCGCTGTCAGTGACAGGGTCACCTGGCCGGACAGAGGACAGCACTCAGGGATGGCCATTCTGAACTCGGGCTTGGTTGTACAGAAACCATTTGAGGTTAGCTGTGACTGAATTTTAGGAAAGAGCTGGAATAGTCTTAGGCCAGAGGTATAGCTGGCAAAGCAGCAAAGTTTGTCCTGTGACCAAAAAGCACTAGAAGCCCTAAAAGTCACAATCTTTTTCATTTTAATTAAATGTGAGGCACTTTTAATCCCTTTATTCTTGAAGAAAAGGTTCTGTGGGATCAATGTGCGGCAGACAGGCCCAGTGCAGCTGATGCTAAGGTATACTTTGGAAGGGAGGCTGGAGATCTGGGTGTACCTCTGAGGTGGGAAGCTGGCCTGGTGTGCAGGAGGGAGCGAGGGAGTGAACTGGCTTCGGCCTCTCTATCCTTGACAGTTATGAGCATGAATGCCCAAGCACAAGCTCTTTTTGGGGAGAGAGAGAGAGAGAGAGAGAGAGAGAGAGAGAGAGAGAGAGAGAGAGAGAGGCCTTAGCTCTTTTTTTGAAATGAGGTATTGATAAATTCCCCAGGTAATACTTAAATTTGCAATCCTCTTGCCTCAGCCTTTCAGTGGGCTGGGATTATGGAAGACCATGCTTGGTTGTTTTTAATAGAAATGGGAGCCAGCTGTGGTGGTGTACACCTGTAATCCCATAACTCTGGGAGGCTGAGGTGGGAGGTAGGAGGACCACAAGTTCACGCCCGACCCAGCCTGGGCAACTTAATAATTTAGAGAGACCCATCTCTAAATAACAAATAAAACTGAGCTGGAGACATAGCTCCAATGTGAAGGCCCCAAGGCCTTCAATTTCCAGGGCCAAAACGAACAAGGAAGACATTAAGTTTCTAGAAAAATACACAAACTTCTCTAGATCTTCAGAGAGCAAAGTAATCTATGTGAATTGCAAAATGATCTATAGAAAATGTGGTTTTCAAGGATGACACATTTAAATGTTAAAAATATCACAATTTCTTTTGTCAAAGCCTCTAAGACATGATCTCCTCAGAATGTGGCAAAAGATTCGGAAGAGATTCGAATCTGTGAGTGGAAGAGATTCAGGTTTGCTGGTAGCCACCTCCCCAGCAGTAGTGATGGATGCCAGCACTGTTGCATGCAGGCTGTGTGGACTCACAGTGACAGTGGCCAAGAGGCCCTCGGGCACGTTTGCCACAATGATGCCAATGAGGAAGATGATGGAGTCCAGAACACGGTACTTCAAGGACACCGCGATGATGAAGAAAAGGATGCCTATGGAGACAGCCACTCCTGCTACAATGTGGACAAAGTGCTCAATCTCAGTGGCAATGGGGGTCTTCTCATTTCCAACCCCTGAGGCCAAGGAAGCTATGCGTCCAATGATGGTGCGGTCACCCGTGTTGATGACCATGCCGGTTGCAGTGCCTACAGGGGAAGTTGACATTTTATTCCACGGGTCCTGCCACTGCCTTCTCTGCAGGCTGACAGGACTGGTTAGCATACAACATTACAAAGGCCAACAGCAGTCCTCTGGGTCCTCAATTCTATGTTTGCTATGGGAAAAGCTTTGTAATAGGTGATGGATCAAACAAAAACATCACACACTAGAGGAAGAAGTGGTCCCACTGGGGCATGTGATCCTGAGAACCAGCAGGCCTTACCTTCCAGACAGGTGGTGGAGTAGAAGGCAATGTTCTTTGTTTCCAGGGGATTTTCATGGGTAAACTCAGCTGAGCGAGGCTGGGGCTCAGATTCCCCAGTGAGAGAGGAATTATCCACCTGGAGGAAATTTTGAAACAGTTCAAAAGCAAGCACCTTGTTCTCTACCTTTTCTACTGAGACTGGGAAAGAAGAGCACCCCCCCTCCCCCCAAGGATTGGGACTCCTGAAGCTCACCTTGCATCCCTGGGAAAATAGCAGCCTGATGTCCGCAGGGATCTGGTCTCCTCCTTTAATCTCCACTATGTCCCCCACCACCAGCTGCTCTGCAGGGATAACCTTCTTTTCTGCGTCACGAGTGACAAGAGCTTCCTGTGGGAAAACAGAATTGAGGGGCCTAGGACTGCTGTTGGGGGTGGTAAGTGACCCTATGGTGGTCAGAATTAGACTGAAGACTGTTCCACTTGAGGCCTGGAGACTCAAGGAACAATTTTTTTCCTTGAGGTTTGCTTTTGAATGAGAAAAGGCTGCGGTCAGGTGAATAAGGCCAGGGAGCATGCTGGCCATAAGGGTGAGCCCTCAGCTATGTCTGGGAGAAATGCTGAGGGTTGGTTCTCAGGGTCTGATAGTCTTGGTGAGGTGTGGAGGACTTTAATGTCCTACTTTTTAGACAAGAGCAGCTATCTTTTCCACCTAGCCACCAGCTTTGGGCCAAGCCAAGGCCAAGGCCTGGGCCATGGTAAATCCCTAAAAGGGATTACTGGGGGAGAGGGGACAACAGGGTCCCCCTGGAACATTTTGAGCAACACACTCTGAAAGCAAAAACAGTGGCAAAAAACAAACAAAAAAAGCATAGGTAGTCCTCCTTGGAGAACCATGGAACATTCTAGAACCTCCTGAACTGATCATCCAAATGGTCCAGAAGACTAAGTTCTGTCCTCTTTTCCCTTGACTAAGCATTTCCGTAGCTATTACTTCATTTAACCATCTCAAACACTGAGAGGAATTGGGGTTCAGACTCTCAACTGAGGTACCTTGTCCAGATGTCCTGGACAACCAAGAGACGAGGTCAGAGATACTTCCTCACCTGGAATTCACATAGGGACTGGAGGAAGAGTGGCTGCTGCTTACCTGGGGAATCATCTTACTGAAGCTGGACATAATGTTGGTACTTTTGGCCTCTTGATAATAAGCAAAGATCCCTGTTAGAATCACAACCAAGGCAAGTACCACACCCAAGTACACCTGTGTGAGGAGGAACAATAACAGTCAGAAATAGGTACATCTTTAGCATCCTGCATCCAAAATTCCAAAAGCTGAAATGCTCCAAAATCTGAAACTTTTTGAGTTCCAGTAAGATGCCAAACTGGAAAATTCCATACCTGACCCCATGTCAAAACACAGACATACTAAAAATTACTACAAAAATATATCTTCTGTCTGTCAACAGGCATATAGGAAATGCAAACACAATTTGTGTCTACACTTAGGTGCTGTCCCCAAGCTAGCTCACTGTGTATATGCAAATACTCCAAAACAATACACAGTCTGAACTTGGGAACACTTCTGGCCCTCCTGTCCTGTGGTAGTCACTCCCCAATCCTGTTCCCAGCCTGCCCCACCGACATGGCCTAGGTTCAGGATTCTCATCAGTGGTCTCACACAACACATGGTCTTCTGCATTTGGCTTTTTTCTCTTAGTGTGGGGCTGGACAACTTAGTCTTGTAGGATTGACATTCAGGTTAGTTGTCTTTTCTGGTAAAAGGAAAGGGTAGCTTTGTGGATAGAGAGCCCCAAAATGCATATAGATTATTTTTCCCATAAGTGTTTTGCTTATTTTAAAATTGGTGCTCAGATTGCTCCTGAGGTGTGGGAAAGTTAGATAACATTTGGTTTACAGTGGGGAGAGTTTCTGGTTTTCTCATCTCTTGCATCCTGCCTCTACCCAGCACCGTGCCCACTGATGGATGGAAGGTGGCTTACATTGTCAAGGGATCCAGATTGATTGCTGGCATACTGAATCCCATATGCAATCCAGCACAAGATGGCGCCTACCCACAGAAGGATGGAGAAGCCCCCAATCATCTGCTTGAGGAACTTGATAATCTCTGGAGTCTGCTTTGGAGGGCTGAGTGCATTGGGCCCATCCCGAGCCAGGAGCTCAGCAGCTCTAGTGCTGGAGAGACCCTGAAAAAGCCAGTGGGGGTGGGGGGGAAACATACATAGAAATATACAGAAATTAGGTTAGGTTCTGGGGGCTCCATGGATATACATCCAAGTCACCCTGAGTCTCAGTTCAAACACTGCAGCACCCCAGGAACCTACTGTGCTGCTCCTTTGGGTCATAATTCATGGGATCTCTCTGTGTATAGGCCACTCAGATAGGATAGCGTGCACACTACACTTTCCTATACATCTACTGCTTTAAGGCCAGGTTTCTGTCTCTCTTTATCCTTTATTGCCAATTCAGTATGAACCACATGGTAAGAACTTCTGTTAAGTTGGAAATAGACGGACACTTAGATGTTGAGACATCCAAATCTTTGAAATTGAACTTGGATCTGAATTCACAGAAGGAAGCAGTACTTCTGTGGTAGGAGAGTCTGTAAGATCTAGAAGATACAGCAGGCTTCCTAGGGCTCTAAAATGGTTTCTCAGTGTCCTTACTTTCTAACACAGCCTCCCTGGTTTCTGATAAAAAGAACCCCATGGACTATCATATTTCCTGAAGACAGAGAGGAGGCAGGTGTATCTTTCCAGAGACACCACAGCAGCCCCTCGGTCACAGGAAAAAGATTTTCTATGCCCGGGCATCTGTCCAGCTTGAAAAGAGCTTGGATTGGGCCCTGGTTCATGCATGCCAGCTCTGGGAGGCCACCTGGTCCTGTCTTGGGATCAGGCTAGGGTCTATGCGCACCCTCACAGGTGTGGCCGAAGGTCCTGCATCCTAAGGTGCCTTTCCTTTCCCACACATCCCAAGTGTAGTCTTCCCCTTTGTAGGGCCAGGAGGCATCTCTTCCCCATCCTCAGGTCCCTGATGACTTACTCTGATGATGTTTGTGCCATATTTCTGCTCCAGTTCCTCACTGGTGAGTTTGTGATCGTCCTGAAGTCCATGAAGGGAAGGAGAACAGTGGATTAGGTTATTCTAAAGGATTCTACTCCCAGTCTCTTACTGTCCTGGAAACTGGGAGAGGCACTGAACATGGGAGGGGGCAGACGATGTGAGGAGGAGGAGGAGGAGGAGGAGAGAAAAACCCACCTGTGCAGCAAGGGAAGACACTGAGGGATAGCCTTGGTCAAGGCCCCTTGAGAGGTCACACTGCCCTTGCCACTGGCATGGAGTAAGCTGTCTGTGGCTTCAGAACAAAGCAGTGCCTACTTCCTCACCCTGCTCTCCAGAGCATGTAGGTCCTGACAACCTTATCTGCCAGGTGCTAGTGATGGAAAATTCACACAGACCTGGACCCTGGATCTAGCCGAGGGTAATGACTGAACCAAAAGTATACTTGATTACTATGTTTGTACAGTGGCTCCCTCCCTGTGGGGTCTCTGGAAGGAAGAAGCATAACTTCTCTTATTGTAGTCATGAAAGTCATGTGGTTCACAGGTTAGAGAAGTCCCACATATTAAAAACTTGACCATAAGCATATACTAGTATGGCCCACACTTGCTGATTTTACCACAGACTTGAAAGACTGAAACAGAGTTCTCATCCATAGCACTACTGACACTCTAGGTCAATAATTCTTGGTTTTGAGGTCTCCACCTCTTACCATAGTGGCTCTGGGTCGTGACAACCGAAAAGTGTTCCTTGACATCCCCTGGGTGGGGCAGGGAGGATTCTTTCCCTCTTTTCCCTTTGAGAACCTCTGGGCTACAAGACTGGAAGTCTTTTTTTGTAGCAAGAAACCTAGAGAGAGTCTTTGTCAGCCCCTAGCAAGCGCAACATCCAGGATCATTTAAGCCATGGTTATCTGAAACACAGATTTATCCTGTGACTGCTACCAAAGCCATGTATTTTAAGTATATCCAGCAAAGTTTCATGTTGCATTAAGATTAGGTTGCTTCTAGCTTTCTTCTCAGCCAGATTCTGGTTTGCTCATTCATTCATTCCATCAGCATTGATTGAATGTGATATTGCCAAGGATCCAGAGGGTTAAGGAAGAATTCTGTGTATGTACAGTGTACTTAGTTTGATCAGATGCAACACTGGATGATCGAAGAGATCATTTGCATAACTGAACCTCATACTTTTTTAAGTCCCTGCAACGAGGTCCCTAGAGCCAGGGTGCCAGAGACATGGGGAGGGATGAGGTGAGATAGTTGACATGTGGAGCGCTTTTTGCTGTTTAGAACTGGAATAGCACAAGGCAGGCCCCAGGGTGGCAGATACATACAGATCTATAGATATACAGACTATAGATATGCAGAGATATACAGAATACAGAGACATACAGATATACAGACATGCAGAGATATACAGATAGGCAGTGATATGTAGATGTATAGAGTTATACAGTATTACACAGAGGTATACAATTATATAGGTATACAGAGATATACAGTGCTACATGGAGATATACAGACATACAGATATGCAGAGATGTACAGATACACAGAGGTACACAGTTATTCAGAGATATAGAGATATACAGAGTTATACAGATATATAGAGACATACATATATACAGGTACACAGAGATATGTATATAGATATAGAGATATTCAGACATATACAGATATACAGAGATACAAATAGACATGTATATGGAGATATACAGATGTTTAAAGTTATACAGATATACAGACACACATATACAGATATATAGAGATAGACATACAGATATACAGAAATATACAGAGATGCAGATATATATATATATATATATATATATATATAGAGAGAGAGAGAGAGAGAGAGAGAGAGAGAGATACAGAAATGCAGAGATACATAGATATACAGAGACACAGAGATATACAGAGTGGAAGATACACAGAGAGGACAGGGATAATTTTAGTGACCAAGAGTCTAATTTGCCCAAACGTTAGGGTGCATAAGCATTCCAGTAGCATGTGACAAATTCTAGGATTCTTGTGAGAAGCTTGAGAAAGACAAGGAAAATCAAGATATTCCTTTCTTAACAACAAAACAGGAAAATACCTTGGCTAATACTATGGAAATGATTTGTCTATACATCTTCACAAAGTGCTCAAAGGAGAGAGAATCTTATCACAATCAACAGACATATGACGGAATCGGTATATAAACAGAAGTTTCATGTCTTCAATTTTAAGCACTAGAGTTACATAAGAAATGTTACTATTTATTACCAAGTGGTGTTCTTTGTCCTACTATAGTTCAGCTAGAGGTTCTATTTCTTTCTTTCTTTCTTTTTCTTTTGGTACTGAGGATCGAACTCACGACCTTGCACTTACCATGCAAGTGCTTTGAGCCACTGAGCTAAATCACTAGTGCACTATACAGTCTATTTCTAATTCCCATTTTTTGAAATAGGAAACAGTGTCAGCCACACTGGGATTTATTTAAATTTTGGCCAGTCCATCTTCAGGGCTTCTTTCTTTCTTTCTTTCTTTCTTTCTTTCTTTCTTCCTTTCTTTCTTTCTGTATTGTAAATGTCTTATCAGAATGAAAGAATGCAAAGCAGGTGCTACTCTGATTAATCAGCTTTCCAAGAAAGATAAACAGCTCTGGTTTGCAGCATTTATCAAGCAAACTTTAACTGAGCCAGGCCCAGTTTTCCAAATCCTAGACATTAACCAATCAGCTGTCCAGCAGCCCCAGTGCGTTGAATGGCTGCATCAGCCCAGCTACTGCCTCACAATCACAGGACTCTAATGTCTGCCCAGAACTGCAGGGACCTTCTAGCAGTGTCTCAGGCTCCCTGTAGATCTCTTCCCTTTGGATTCAAGAGATGAAAGCTGTCATAGTTGCTCTCCAGGCCTAGGCCCTGGAATAGTGGGTAGCTTACAGAACTCCATAGTTCTTCCTTACACTACTGCATTCTTACAAAGTTCGTTAATCACAAAATACTTATCTTTTTCCCCTTTACAGACTCTGCAAATTATTTATTTTCCATTTAACATGAAGGTAATGACACTTCTATGCAGCCAGCTCCTGGCTGAATCAGAGGAGTGAGATGTGAACTGAGCCAAGGGCTGTGGCACCCAAGCCAGCATTCCTCCCACTGGGCTCTTCCAGCTCATGGGCACACACCCCTACACCTAGCAGGGCCTGTGCTCTGGCTGTCCTCCTGGGAGGCTGGGCAGCACAATGTGTTTCAACCACTTGGAAACTGACAAGTGGTTGCTTGTGGCTCCTTAAAGTGGTCAGGAGAGAGAAAGAGCAAGGAAAGCTGCACAGGGCCTCTGGGGCTTGGGACTGCTGTACCAGGACGCTATAACCAGACTGCAGCCGCCTGGTAAAGAGCCCACTCTCCTCTCTCCTGACAGGGAGGGGACCAAGGCAAGCTCATTGGGATACTCTGGCCCCAGGACTACTGACCAGGTCAAGCTCCTTCTTCAGCTCCTCTTTCTGAGAACTCTTTTTGAGATCCAGCTCGTTGCACTTCTTGCCCTCCTCCTGGCCCAACTGCTTGGTGTCTTTGGTTCCATCGAGTTCCACAGAGTAAATCTCTAGTGTTTTCTGAAAGAGAAGACGAGGGACACTATTGACCTTTCTGGTTTTGTTTTGTTTTATTTTTTGGTACTGGGGTTCAAACTTTCGGCCTCAAGCTTGCCAGGCAGGGGGTTTGTGCCCCTGAGCTAGTCCCTAGCCTTCCTCCTGTTTTTTCTGAGAGGAGTGCGCTCCACTGGGAGAGGACATACTGTGAAGGGAGCCGCCCATCAGGGAGGGGCCCATCTGCCCCTCGTGAGCACCAGGAGAGGACACGGAAGACCAGGGCTGTGGGGACTTCCCCTCTGCCACCTTCCCAGAGTCCTTTAGGTCCTCTCCTTCCGTGGGGCTACCAGGCTGGCGTGGCACCAGCCTTCCCTTGCCTTCACAGAGCCCTGTCTGGTGAGGCAGAGGGGTTGGCAGCAAGGTCTCAGAGATCCAATTCTCACAGGTCACATCAGCGTTGCGCCCCGTTCCGTGGAGGAGGTGGCGTCCACTAAGCTTCAGTCCTCAGCACCCAACAGGGCGGTTTCCTGATAGCCTTCTCCGACTACAGCTCATCGGTCTAACTCAGCAGAGCACCAGCAGGACGGATGCTGCAGAGCTCGCCTGGTCCCTCGACCCCCTTCCGCGGGTTCTCCGTCCAGGCGGCCCGGGGCGCACGGCGCCGGGGCTGGAGACAGCGTGGACCCAGCGCACTTTCTACCCCTTCTCGCGCCCGCCCCAGCCCGGCCCTCCGGGCGCTGGACTGCACGCACCCGGCGCATGCTGCGGCTGGCTGCGCCCTGGAGGGCGGCTCGGGGCGGGTGCGCTTGGTGGCCGGCGAGGGCCGGTCTTGTCCGCCGTAGGGCGCACGGCCTGGACTCCCCGGGCGGCGGTGCAGAGTCTGCGGGCGAGGATCCAGCGGCTCCTCCACGCGGATCCCGATGGCCAGCGCCGACCGGGGAGGTTGAGTCCGTCTTAAATGCCGTGCGCCCCGCCCACGTCCACGCTGAGGCTGGCTTCCCGCGAAGCGCCGGAGTGCTGACCTGAGGGCGCGGACTGGGCGGGGTGATGTGGGGCGGGCCTAGGGTCCGGCCCCGGGGTCACCGTGCCGGCCGGCTCTGACCTTTTGTGAGAACCCACACCCATTTTTTCTTATGAAAATGTATTTTTTTTTAAACAAAGAAATTTATAAAGTATGTAGGGGAGGTAGCCAATATTGTGTCCTGACCTTAACGGCCAAGATCCCAGATAATGGATTTGGGTAGGCAAATGAGCGATCTCCAAAGCAATCCAGGGTTCCAAGCATTTTGGAGGGGGTAGGGCAGAAGACCAGTCGTGAGTTTAGAGGACCTGGGGAGCAGGCTACTGGGGACTCAGAGGACACTGCTGCCTGCCTCCCTGGAGAACTCTGTATGCATCCAGGTCTTTCCCTCCTTTCTTCCTTCTTCCTTCCTTCCAAATCCATCCAGAAGGGCAAAAAGTCTGGCATGTTTACTGTAAGCAGGAAGCACAGAGCAAGTCATCTTTTAGCTAAACCCCAAGAGCAAGGAAGACTTGGGGAGACGTCTGATGTGGAAGTGAACTGAACAGATTCTTGGCAGGAGAGGAGGGCCTCACATCCAGATCCAGACTTAGCTCAGGCTTTGGGGAGCTCTGCATTCTTCTCCATGTCCTCCTTCTGAGGAGAACACTCTGCAAAAGCAACCTCCAAGTAGTATGAAAAAGCTGTTCCATGATCTGCTGGGAATTCCCAAGGACACTTCGAAGGCTGAGGTGGCTGCTGCTTGCTTTTGCCTGGCTTCACCTTTGCGACAGAGCCTAGAGAAGCAGGAGCCCAGAAAGGTGTCCCTGAACCCAAGCCCTATAAACATTTTAAGAGCAAAGCTGCTGCTTGACTCCAGATGAGGAGAGGGGAGGCAAGCAGTGTTCCTAGTGGCGGGGGAGGGGAGGAACCAGTTTCACACATTAGTGACTGTCATAGCTCCCCTTGGCCAGGATGGCTGTGATTCCTGTTTGGTGGAAAAGACCACCAAATGGGACAATTTTTGTCATCAGGTTCTCTGGTACTTCTCGGGTCATGCAGTTTGGGTCCTCTGCAGTTCCAAGGCAGCCTGTGTCCTGTAATGTTGACTTTTACCAAGAAGAGAAATGGGGCTGCTAGACAATCTGCCCTGCCTCCAGAAGAGTGGTGTCCCGCATGTGTGATGCAGGCACTTGGAGCAGCCCTGCTGTATAGAGCCAGGAGCTGGAATTTCCTGTAGATACTGACTTCACTATCTTTGGCCCCAGGTCCCTCACTCATGCTGTTCCAGGCAGTGAACTCTGAACTCCGCCAGTTCCAGTGGCACATCTTGGGCTGGTTACACGGGAGGACAGGGTACACCTTCTCAGCCTCGTAATGCAGTAGCAGCTTCTGCTTGAGGTTTCTTTCCTGTCTTTCAAAGAAGCAATTTGTGCCAAAGGTCTCTTCCACAATTGTTCTTTTTTCCGTTTTCTTTTTCTCTTTTGGTGGTGCTGGGGATTGAATATGCTGGGCAAGTATCTACCAGTGAGCCATGACCTTAGCCTTCTTATGAGCTTTTATTGACAGATATTCCATATCTGGAACAGTCTGCTGTGATACAACAATTCCCGACTCATTTAAATCAACTGTTACCCTAATGTTATGGTTTGGGTTTGAAATGTCCCATTTAATCTCATGGACTGGAGGCTCTCCCCTGATGCAGCAGTGTTCAGAGATGGCAGAGACTTTGGGTGGAGATCATGGCCTAGCTGGAGGAAGGAGAGTCTGGGGGCAGGTTCTTTAAGGGTGTATTTTGTTGCTGGTCCCTTCCTCTCTCTCTCTCTCTCTCTTTTTTTTTTTTGGTAAAACTCATGACCCGGCACTTGCAAGGCAGGCGCTTATAACACTGAGCTAAATCCCTAGTGCTCTTTCTTGTTTCCTGATGGCCTGTGGTGAGCAACTTTGGTCTACTGTGTGTTCCCTGCCATGATACTGCCTCACCATAGTCCTTAACACAAGGAATATGACAACCATGGACTGAAGCCCCTGAAACTGTGAGCTGAGTTAGGTCTTTCTTCTTTTCAGATTGGTTGTCTTAGGTATTTTTGGTCACAGTGATGGAAAGCTGACTAAGACACTTAATATCCTTAAGGCCAAACTAGACATAGAGAATGGTAGGGAGAAAGCATATGGAAACTCTGCCATCCTGTGGTCTCTAGGCACAGAGCTTGAATTGGAGAGGCACAGTTAGTAATCAGTAAGAAGTGGTATAAGGGAAAACTACATTAGCATTAAATAGGCCAGTGAGGATGAACCTTTTAGAGCTTTCAGTGTTACAAACAGTCTGCTGTGGCACACACACCATAGACTTCCCCCACTGGTACAGGCTGCAAATGCATCAAGAGTTTTAAAGGAAAGGCACATGGCTGGGGGAGGGCTATAGTTTAACTGTCCACCAAAACTCAGGTTGCATTTAATTCTATTGTGAGAATTAAGACACAGAACCAGGTGACACTTTGAAGCGTTGATGGGTCACAAGAATTCTGCCTGTGGGAGTGGATTAATTTAGAGTGAGTCTATTGTAAAAGCCAGTTTGGCTTTGTCTCTTGGACATACCTGCTCTGCTCTGTGATGTGCTGTGCTACTACAGGACTTTTCAGAATCCCCACTGGCAAGAAGGTCCTTGCCAGGTGTAGCCCCTCAGACTTGGACCTCCAGCTTCCAGAACTAGGGCTTTATTCTTTATAAATCACACAGTCTCTCGTATTCTAACCGCAAAAGAGACCAACACAGGAGGTGATGTGATTTTTATTGCTAAAGATTAGTCACCCCATTTTTTCTATCACTGTAAACCTTTTGAGAAAGTGGAAGAGAGGTATAGAGGGGACTGAGTTGGGCTTGTGCTGGAAGATTTCTTGGAGAGGCCCTTTCCGTGGCACATCCAGAATCAAGAGCTGTCCACCAGCACGCTGGCCATGAAGATGCAAAAGGGCAGAGAAGAGGGCCCAGGTGACAATGAGAAGAGGATGCTTTACTTCCTGCTTCCCATTCGAACTGGCTGGTGTCTCTCCTGCCCACCTGCCCTCTCCCTGGGCCTGGATTCCTTTCCTACACACCAGAAAGTCCCCACCCAGAACCTTCCCCATGCACCTGTGTTCACCCATAGACCAAGCTATGAGTAGGCCAGCATTGCTCCCAGGGCTGCCTGGAGTTGAAGTCAGAGAGAAACAAAAACACCAGGCTGCAGCCTCACATGCCTCTATTATTTCCTCATTTCTTCATAATAGGAAATCCCGGGATTGGCATATGAACTTCCTGCAGAAAGAAACCTGCTGTTCAGAAAGTGACTCACATGCGATGGCAAGGATCTTGCCTGGGGCTCATTACGACCATAAGCAGAGTGAGCCGTGATAGAGTCCCTTGAGGGGCTTCAATGGGGCTGTTGGGTTTGCCAGGGAACACTCTTTCTCCCTCTGTGGGCACAGCACCCCCAGGCATAGTTCTGCTGGGCACTTGAGGTTCCCCAGGGTTTCTGCTCTGGGACCACAGATGTTAATAAGATGTTTTAAAATGCACTGCACATGTTAAGTTGCACAACATAGGCTTTGGTATATACAGTGAGTTACTATAGTCAACTGATTTTTTGCAAGAGTCAAAAATCCAATCTTAGCAGTTTCCAGTATGCAGTGTTACAGTTCTAGTCCTCGTGTTGTACTTAAATCTCCAGAAGTGTTCATCCCGCCTGTAATTTTGTACCCTTTGCCTCACATCTCCCTCTTCTTCCTGCCCTCCATCATAAGATCCTTTTCCAGGAAGTCACCATTTTCTTCTCTTTTTGTTTTTGGAGACAGAGTCTCACTATATTTCCCAGGCTGATCCCAAACTCTTGGATTCATGTAACCCTCTTACCTCAGTTTCCTTATAATAGGTGATTGAAAAAGAATGAAACTGTATTCTGATGTGTTTTAATTTTTAATCTTATGATGAAAACAGGTTTTCTTCATGTGACTCATCTACTCCTTTGTTATGGACATTCTAACATATTAATATATGCCATATGTATATATATATATATATATATATATATATATATATATACAACATAAAGAATATTGTCCACACAGATGCACTTGCTAACTTGGCAGGAATTTGCCTCTTCTCATGAATGAGTCATACTGTCTTGGTCTCCAGAGTTGTAAGGCTCAAGCAAATATGCTAATATTTATTTATTTATTCCAGAGTTAATAACCGGGGTTCTGGCAAAGGAGGGATAGGTGCTTCTTGAAAGGCTCAGTGCAATGCAATCTGAAGGCTGGTTGGCTTCTGCAAAGAGGTCCTGGTAGGGAGGGAATGAAGAAGAGCTGAGCAGTCAGGTTCTGTCATGGAGTTGCAGGAGTCCAGCTGTCCCTGTGTCCTGTGTTTTGGGGAGCCTTGGAGCATGAGAATTGGATGATGGAAGCCACAGTTTGGGAAGAGGGTCTACAGTAAAAATCAGGAGCCCTCTTGATACTACGAGTGAGCTTGGCTGGCTGCTTCCATCTTTACCTCATTTCCGTGTGCCGTTTCCTGCTGGCCAGTAGATTTTGTAAGCGAGGTGGGCAACTGCTCTGCCATATGGACTTTAGCATCTTAATTATTTTGAGACTATTTCATATGTAATTTATTTGCTCTGTCAAGAATCTTTGAGCTGATAATGTAGTTCAGTGGAAGAGCGTTTGCCTAACATGTATGAGGCCTCGGGTTTGATTTCTACTGCCATCTCCTGAAAAAAAAAAGTCTTTGAGATGAAACTAGAGCAAAGGCAAATGATAGTCTGATACCACTCAGTCTAAGTTAGTGAGGATCAGATGACTGCCCTCGCTCACTGCCCCCTATAAATGCATATTTACCAGTGTTTCCAGGGTGAATTGTACTGTTCCAAGA